ACAGGAAATAAGTCATCCAAGCTATTTTAGAAAAACTCATCTTGGCAGAGAAGTACATCCTCCACAAAAACTGGACTTATGAATTTATTGAAAATTTGGAACTATATGAAATTTATTGATTTTTTAAATTCTTTTAAATTTTAGTTTAGAACTTTAAGTTATATTGATGTTGCAAAATCCCCATTTTGCAAGGTAGGGAGAATGTTGGAAATGAATACGGTTATATCGTTTTATATTTACCTTTTTTGGAATGACAACAAATATTAAATTGTTTACTTAGAATATTCTATCTGTCAATTGAGTTGAAATGGTATATAAGATGTGTCTGTTCTAACTAAGTTTTCGTATTCTTTGCGTAAAATTAAACACCGTAGTATTTTAAACCCGGCGAAGTGGATTTTTATTTTATCAGGGCCATTTCGCCACAGTCAGAGTTATTATCTGACATCATGTCGAGATGATTCATTTTATGATGTAGATATATGATAGCTAGTTGTTATAGCAAAAAAGTAAGAAAATTTGTATTACAACAGAGAAAACTCTTATAGGAGTAAGAGTGAACATGATTATAAAATGATTAAATAAGCATGATATGCATATCAATGGAACATTTAAGATAATATTATACTATAGTAAATAAAAGTATAAAAAGTTATATAGAGAGAAAATATAAGAATAATGACTTAACAATAACTTTATTATGACTAAGAAAGTGGATTTACAGGTAATATAATATGTGTAGTGTAGTGTATTTACGGCAAAGCACACTAGGACTATCTGCCTAAGGGGAGGGATGCCTTCGTGGAGACTTCTAAGGGAAACTGCTCGTATACACTTTACACCTGGGGAAACCACGAAAACACCAGCAGCCAGCCGTTCGCGGGATTCGCAACTCGGACCTAACTACCAGTGGTTCAGACTTTACGTTCGGCGTGGTGGGCGGTAAATAATATGAGGTTTAAGGCTTGTTATGAAAAGTAGATAAAAGCTTTTAGCAAGTTGCCCAAATTTGAAAGTAATTTTTGTATAAAAAATATTATTTAGCAATATGTTTATATTAATTTCTTATAATTTAGTATAAATTTTTGTGGCAGGAATAATAGCAAGTGCAGTTTCATATTGAGCATGTGCATTGTTAGCAACCAAATTCTATTAAATTTAAATATTAAAAGATACAAGAAAAAATAAAGAAAATTAGTATAACTTTTGAAGTTTTTTAAGTACAGAAATAAGACTTACATCAAAAAAAAGGGAGAAAAATAGAATTTATAAAACTCTTTTAAGTTTGTCTAATTTTAACCAAGCAGCTGCAAATTTAAAATATGTGCATACCCAATACAGTTATAGCAATATTCAACAGTTGCAGCAATGAAAAGTTATTGTTTTTAGTATCAGGATAATAATAAAATTTTAATTAAAAATGGTAATTACTTAAACAGGTCTGAATTGTATGTAATAAAAGTTATATAGTATTTTAAGAGAGAAAAATTTTCTCTATAAAACTATTATAATAAAAAGGTACAAAGGATTAAAGTAACAGTGTAATTTGAAGAAGTTGTTTTGAGTTTATATTAATCCTGATTAAAAGTTTTACCTTTCGAAGTAATTAAAGATGAAATTACTTTTGGATTAGTTAACCGGTAATGAAAAATCGCACATTCCTGAGCTTAGTATCAAAAGGTTCCATTTCTGATGGGCGGCTTTCGAATGATATCATTCTTGTTGCATGGAAAATAATTTATCCGCACATTAATGATCCCAAAGTGGGAGGGCAAAACTTGTAAACTCCAAAAAGGGTAGATAGTTGCCAATGCACTGTACAGCATAAAAACCGAGGCATCAAGAAGTAGATTTGGTGCACATGTATTGAAAATGAAACGCTAGCAGTACCTGAGGAACTGAACGTTTTATTCAGGGATACAGCTACAGGAGCAAAAAATAATAATAATACTTTGATCCACCCCTGGTCCTTTTGCAAGCTACAGGGTGCGGCAGGGAAACTTCCTTATTTGAAACGCGCGCCATCTAGCGACATTTATTCCGAGAAGGATGGGGTGGCGCTCATTGAAAAGAGTGGTATCTAAAGTTTTATGTCATATAGGTTTAGTATCGATCATGCAGTGAATGAGAGAGGAGCACGAGTTCACCATGGAGTCGTACTTTTCAACGTACTGCTTTCTCATCCATATAAATTGACAGTGGTGCAAAAACTTAATCCACGCGATTTTCTTTCACAAAAAAATGCATGCAAAGCCGTTCTTGACAATAAGCTTCATGATGCCCGTGTGTTTTTTAATGATGAGGCTCATTTTCGTCTTTCTGGTTGCAGCATGCATTGCGCAAAACGTGCGATAATGGAGTGCCACGAATCCCCGAGAGTTTCATCAGCAGCCCTCCATACAGAACGTGTGACTGTTTGGTGTGCATTGTCCAGAATAGGCATCATAGGATCATCGTTTTTTGGAGAACATTTCTCTAGATACCTTATCTCCTTACGAAGCGATTGACAGTGCCCATCGTGATCGCCTGATTTAGCCCCGTGTGATTTCTTTTTATGGGACTATCTGAAATCTCTAACGTCCAAAGACCCTGGTGCAACTGAAGAACAATATTCAAGCTGCTATCGACACATCCCGTTGCATGCTGGTAAGTGGAAAGAAACTTCAAACTTGACATCTCGATGCTTTGACCAGAACGGAGGCCACCTTAATGATATTATTTCTAAACCGTAATAAAAATACTTTAAGTGTCTCTCTATAACTTGAAAAAAAATTAAACTGATATCGCTTATATTATTTGTGTTATTCATTTTTAAAATAAGGTAGTTTCTCTGCCGCACCCTGTATTATCCGGCCTCGCTTAACTCGAACATTTGGCGGATATACTCCTACCAGATTTCTTGAGATCGGAGCGACACAGGCACAGTAATAGACGCCTGCTCATCAAAGCATAAACGTGCTGCATTGGGAAGAGATCTGGCTATCGCTCGCACAGTATATGGAAGCTTTGAAAATGTACGAAGAAAACTAGTAGAAAGGTGCATCGTGTGCAGCCATGCATTATTCTCATGAAATATAAGCTTAAGGGTAGTGAAAAGAAGGGCAATAATATGGGGTATAGAATCTTGTCGACGTACCTCCGTGCTGTAACACTGCAGCCACCGCGTGTCAAGGATGGCAACCAAAGTGGTCCACCTATCAAATTAAATGATACCCATCACCATAAGTTCTGATATCGGGACCATGTGATGGATAAAAAATAGGTAAGTATTCGTCTTTAGACGCGTCTTTGCTGATCATCAGAGCTCATTTCGAAGCGGAACTCATCCCTGGAAACAATCTTATTCCATTCTGTCGTATCTAGATCGAATGTCCCCTGCACCACTACAAATGTGCCTGGCTGTGTGTGCAATCATGAGCGGCTTTAACTACTGGTCACCTCCAAGTACGGATGCGCAAGTGTCTACATGCGCAGTGGCCTTTGTGCGCAATGGTCTCCGTCAACTCAGTTCCCCGTTCGCAGAGTCGCTTAACTATGATCATTGCAGTCACCAATGTCCCGGTTACACATGGGATCGGTGATAAGGATGTATCAGGGGTGAGTGCCGATCGGATGAATGTCCTCGCGTTCTGTCGACCGCTACTTTCTTGATTGACCTTGCCGGGACTCGAACCTCAGACTTCTCGAATACGCGCCGAGTGTGCTCGCCATTACACCACGAAGGCATGTTCAGAAGGCGAAAGAACTACCTTATATTTTAAAGGGAGACTGGAAATTAAGGGACCCAATCGCCAAATCTTGGTAATGGAGAATCATCTTTCACCACGTTTTTTTAGTTCGGGCGCCACAGTAGAGACATTAGGTATTTTGAAGCAAGAGTCCTGAAAAACGAGTAGTGCCCTCACCGGGACTGGGACCTCGGACCTCTCGAATACGCGCCGAGTGTGCTGGTCATTACACCACGAAGACATCCTAAGAAGGTGAGAGAAACACCCAATAAGGTTATGCCTTAGTATCAGAAAGCCTTCTGTTTTATACACTATCTTGAATCGCCCTTGCAATGCTCTGGAGCTTCAGCTAGTCATTATTGGTCAAGTGCGACTAAGCCTAAATTTTTATCATAGCAGGCACATTTTTTTACATTTGAAACTTAGCAGAACAGCAAATTAATTCTTTCTGCACCTTCAGTGTCTTTTTACCGAGTGGGACCAAAAAGGAAACTTTTAGTTTTGTGCCCGAAAAATCTGCCTTCTTGCCAATTTGCTTGGTTTGGGGCAGAAACTGCAATTTTAATTGTAAAAATTGTTTTTTAATTGTTTTAACCGTATTTGTATTTGTTTTTTTTTTTTTTTTTTTTTTTTTTTTTATGTTTTTCTATATCTTTAAATTTTTAATGAAAATATTTTGAGTTTATGTATTTTTGCCTCGCGAAGTGAGAATTGAATTAATTGAAGGAGAAATATATCTGTAATAAAATTCAAGGAAATAAGTTTAAATGAAATGCAGGAAAAAAATTCGTATAATATTCCGTACAAGGAAGTCATGTGGTGTACACATCAGCTTTTTTTCTTTGGTTTTCCTCATCGCTCTAAATGCTTACCACAGTCAGCAAAATCCTAGTTTTGAAGTTCAAATTAAATACTATTTTCTTTATATGTATTGCAATTTCGATATCAGGTACTGTAATTAAATTTTATAATTAAATTGTGGGAACATAAACAATTTGAATTTAAATTATGTGAGAATTTTATATATTCATATGTTTCTTAAATTAATTTGACATAATTAATAATAATTTTTGTATTCAACATGAATGAAAACAGCAATCAGTCATCAAATGAAATGGATACTATCAATTAATGGCACTAATCAATTTACTTTTATAGTTACTTACGTAATTTATTCCAAAGTTTTTCTGCTGTTATAGCATATTATGTTTTTGAGAGTATAGAATTCCAAATATGAATTAGTTTACATTTATGATGCTTTACTTTCCATAGGCATATCAGTCATGGGTAAAAGTTAATGGAGAAGAACCAAAGCTACCAGAACTGAATTACACGCAGAACCAATTATTCTGGATCAGTGCAGCTAACGTAAAGTTTTATTCCATTTATACTAATACATGAAATTTATTTAAAATCATATGCAATATGAATAAATCACTACCTTTCAGTATTTAGAATTTCGCACAAACATTTTTAAAATGATAACTATTCTCTTAATCGAAAATAAAACATTCCTATAAACTATTTTAAGATCACATATCAGTGATGTTCAACAAAGTGTCATATACATGACATAATATTAAAGCTAATTGCGCCTAAACTAAAAGTTTGATTAACTTTGCTAGCCTGAAGACGACTTTTCATTGCGCTTAGAATCCAACGACACGGACTGAATAATAAAATTATAAAATCAATTAAAATTTTCTTTGTACTTTTAACTGCTAATTTAGAAACTGAAATCTAACAGAACTTAACAATGTCTAATTGATAACTGAAAATACAACTATATTTTAAATATTTACGGAACACTAGTTGATAAGAAATTGACAACTCGACTCCAAAATCTACTCCTTCACAAGAACTCTCAGAAATCCGTATTAGTTATTACGGAAGATGAAATTTGAGATTTACAGTATTGCTGCCTGAAATTGCCAATATTCTCTTTTTAGCTTATATTTCCGCTTACTCATTAAAATAACTTATTTTGTATTTGTAGTGGAGGTGACCATGAACACTGAAATGCAAGAATAATTCCACGTAATAAACAAAGTATTAATTAATGTAAATCTAATAAAAAGAGAATAAAAATGTGCCATTTTGAACAGAAACTTTCAAACTAAAGTTAGAAATGTGTTTTAAGAGAGCGTTGATTTAACCTCGCTCTTAGCCAGAGCAACTTCTTTTTACGAAGATTTACCGCTTCTTCTTTTTCCTTTAATATACCTACTTTTCTTCCTTGATCAGATATAATTTCTCGAAGGCTTTCTTCCTAATGATATTTCTCATAGCTTTTACTCAAATTTCTCATAAAATTTCGATGTCTTGTTCTTAAGACTTCTTGTAGACGATCGTCTCTTAATGATTCCTGTACATAATATAACATTAATAATTCTTCTTCAAATTAATAAACATCGGGAGTATACCTCCTCTGTTATGTGACCCTCCTCACAAATCTTGAACTATGGATGGTCGTTTTAGCGAGCTTCTCTTTAAGTTAATTTAATAAGTCATCATTTAGTTAAATAATAGAATGACATGCTCGCTGATCAGTAAGGAACTCAGGGAACGAAAAGCTTGCCGATAAAGAGAACTGAATTCGTCCTTTAAAATATGCAATCCTTTTATTCGAGATGCTAATACACGTCATGCTTTTGTCTAGTAATGTGTTTTGAAAAACAGGTTTCTTTAAAAATAAAATTGATAAAAAAGTGCCCACCTTATAAAAACTGATTTAATAGTCTTATTTTCCTCACTTTCGATATACAGTAGAAAACAAAATAAATTATAGATGAATAATAGATATTTGGGATTCGGAAATGCGATACTGTGCAAAAGAGGCCACGTTATTTAAATGACGTGTCAGAGGAACTTGCATAATTTGAAATAAAAAAGCTTAAAAATGTGTTAAAATTTAATTTTGACTTTTGGGTCTCCGATGGGCAAGTAAGTAATATAAGGGCTTTCTTGTTTCGCGAGAGTGAACCTCACTACGAGTTCCTCGCCCCTTAGAACCAGGCACAGAAGTTCAACCTCCGCCCTCGCACCTTGGAGAGAAGGGTGCATCGCTTGAAGCAACACTGGTCGTCAATTTGGTCCCTGCCAATCGTCCGGGCTGCCCGTCGCAGTGGGACATTACCCAGCGAACCCGAGGGCGCTACTCTCCGGGCTACTTCCGATGGGCAAAAGATTAGTTGTTCTCTGAAATTTGATGACTTCCTAACCTCTTATTTATATTTTTACACTCAGTGCACTTAGCGATCTTGCAAAGTCCCCATTTCGCTTTTTTTTTTCCGTGGAAAAACATTTGTGAGAGCCAGGCATAACCACTTTGACGATTTTGTCTACTCGTGAGAAGTTACATAACTCGTACGAAAATCATAAAATTTGCAAATTTTTATAGCAAAGTAATCCAAGATACTGCATTAAATCGATTAACTTGTTACTTCTTACATATTTTTCATACGGCAGTAGTCAGATGTAATAAATACATCTATAATGTGAATACGGACCAGTTTCCTTAGAATGTCGTCCGCGAAGACATCCTTCCCCGTAGATATTTACCCTCATTTACTATATTCTGAAAAAACCCAGCCCAAGTCAGATGTACTAAAAGCACACTGCGAAAAAAAAAGGGGGGGAGAGTTCTATACCTCCCGTTCTACTGGGTCGACTGACAAAATTCAAATTGCGTTTTTCATGTCTCGAAAGCGCAACTTAAGACATATATTTGATTTATATATAGCATTGCTTTAATATATTTGTTTTGACACAAAATCGCTTTTTCTTTAAATGAAACGCCAATTTTTTCCATATTTCGATTCTACGACTCAAATTATGCCTAAATATTCAATTTTGTAAAATTTAGTACAAAATTTAGGCAGAAATTTAAAAATTTATCTTGGTCCATTTTTTTCAGTTCGCGCCAAGACTAATTCACTTGGCGAACTTCTTAATTTATAGCAACTTATTTTCCTTTTTTCTCATTGCAGGCGAGCGGAAAAAAAGTAATCTTCATACTTTCAAATAATTTTAACAAAGTGCGTAAACCACATTTGGCGTTACTATCGATTACAACAAATATGCCAAATTTCAAAACGCGCCAATGTGTAAATTCACGTATATCCTAGGAAATTTTGAATAAAAAACTATAATTTTTTGCAGGTATGCTTAAATATATGTACTTAAGATGAGGTAAACATTTATTTAATAAAACCAAATCTTTCGCAAAATTTATAAAAAGAAATTTAAAAAAAATTTAAAGATCATAAGAAAAATCAAAAGAATAAAAAAAAGATAATAAAAAATATTTCCATATATTCATTAACATTGAGGAGCTAAACTTTTGAGAACTAATTTTTTTAAAACTACTCGTACGACTTTTACAAAACTTGGCAGTTTGGCATAATTTGAGACGTAGAATCGAAATATAGAAACAAATTGGCGTGTCATTTCAGAAAACGTCGGGTTTTGTGTTAAAATACCTATGTTAGAACAATGCTATATCTAAATCTAATACATATCTCAAATCGCGCTTTCCTGTTATGAAAAACGAAAGTTGAATTTCTTCAATCGGCCCAGTAGAACGGGAAGTAAGAATTGTCCTTTTTTCTCCCGATGTGTACCTTCAACATGTGGTAAAGAATAAAGAATAAAACTGATTCGAATTTTAGGGAAAAAAAAAAAAAAAGATAGGAAGTACGGAAAAATCATGAGTTTCATAAATGAAATAAAAACTAGAAATATGAAAAATTAAATATAATAAGATGTTCTCACATTTAAGTAGTGTGTGCAGATTATTCGTAATACAAAATTATAGATGAGTTTTTTAAAGCGAATTAGTTAATCTCATGTTTGCATTAAACTATATTATAAATTCTTTCCTTTTTTTAAAATTAATTATGAGTTTCAAATAAAAGTTTATTGATAAAAATTATTTTTTTAAATATCTCCTTTTTTATTTCATTTATCATGTAACGCGTGGCCATAATTAAATTGAAAGTGCTCACAGTGTTCTGTAGCGCAATCTATTTTCGAGAATGACGCCACATTTTGTACGAAGATTAAACAAGACGGGGGACGAAGGATTCGTGAAAAAAAATAGTTCCAAAAGTCACCACTAGGGGAATATTTGGCGCTGTGTAATAGAAAATAGAGTGTTAACAAATGCAAATCAATACGAATTACCTTTTAGTTGCATTCAATGAGGTTCAACAAGAGCTTGCCCGTTGTGGGCCCATATTGCACATCTGTGCACATTTGCACACAGCAGAAAGTAACATGTCGCTGAATCTCCGTACATCGTGATATATATCCTCAATGTAGCCATGTCCTAGACACTCCTTGATAACCTTGGCTAAGATAACCCATAGCCCGAATCGCATGGGATAAGATCAGGCGACCGCGGTGGCCATGCAGTTGCAAAGTACGGCTAATGACTCTTTCTGTTGTGAATTGTCTGTCGTATCACTTTGCACCCGTACAGCAATCGGTGGAATGCTCCTCTCTTGCATGAAAATGATTTTCCCACAGGATTGTCCTTCTGAATGACGGATGACCAAAGGTTCAACATGTAGCGATTTTCTCTACGGTAACGAACAGGTTTCCGTTCCTGTCGAGGTCATGTCTCATAGAAGAAATGACCTACGATAAATTTTATTCGGTATTAATTTGCTTTTTAACACTCTATTTTCTATTACACAACGCCAAACATTCCCTAGCGTTACTTTTGGACTAAATTTTTTTTTTTTCGCAGGAAGTCCTTCGTCCCCCCGTCTGTTTAGTCTATCCTAAAACATGTCGTCATTCTCGCAAATAGATCGCTACAGAACTCTGTGAGCACTGTCAGTTTAATTATGGCCACCCGGTATATTGCTTAGTCTGTATGCGTATTCATCCATGAAACTCTGCTAACGACAACTTACTAGTAGGAGATTTCGAAAGTTTTCCGCAGATTCTCACCGACAGAACTCTATTCCTATTTTATTTTAATATTTTTTTAACCTTCTATTTCTTTTGGAAGCCAAAAAATGACCCAAAGGAAGTGAAATCTCTCATGCATAGCTCGGTTTATCTGGGGCCACGCGCTGTCTCAATTATTAAGAGAAACATACAGAAGACTGCTAATGACAAACTATTAGTTTACATATTAGTTAATAAACCAGTATTTCTAACAAGTATCAAATACTGGTTTGAAAGCTCGAACTGTGCATTGTGTTAAGTTTTAATTAAAAAGTTCTATTAAAATTTTTTCCGTGTACGGATGCCTTATTAAGAGGGCTTAATAAGTCACCTGAAAGTGTCAGTTGAGTAAATAAGTGGTTTCCCGCAACGTGTCCTTCAGATGTAGCGTAACTCATAGATAGCATTATAGCAAAGCACACGATCGCTGTCTGCCTGATGTGATAACTGTATTCGACGAAGACTTTGTAAGGAAAACTGGCTCGGGTTCACGTTACTTATGGGAAAATCCATGGAAATCAACAATGCAGAGAGACCCTTCACCAGGATTCAAACGTCGGACGAACACCTAACATTCAAATGCCATCTCTCTTCTGTAGATAGGGCTGGAGCTCGTAGACAAATGCTGGATGTTTCTATTATTTAATATGTTTTAAAATATTTTCCTTCAGAAAAAAAAAATTAATGTTAGCGACATTCAAATATTTTCTCGGTTTATATTTCTGAGTTGGGAGTTTCTGCTTCATTCCTCATCAATTAGTTGCATATTTATTTACATTTAAAAGTGTTTCCTTTTATTGCTTCTTCTATGATATGAAATTGTTCTTTCTTAGATTACTCTGAAATATTCCTTCGAAGAATATACCTCGAATTTGTAAATTCGTCACAGCTCGTTTCATGTCAGGATACTTTTTTTTTTTTTTTTTTTACTTTAATTGCACTTTACAAAAGGCTAATGGCAATGGTTCATCTTCATACGTAGGACAAGGAAAGAACTGTTATTCTGACTCGCTGTGGAGAGGTAATCCTTCTCTTAAGAGAAAAAAAAAATTGGATAGACATGTGCCCAGCTCATTTATTATTTGTACTTCTTTCATGTCATGGGTCTACTATGTCGATTGGATAAAATCTTCTATCAGAAGGAAACGTTTTGGTGAAAGCCTCTCCGGTTTCAAGTTATAACATCACGTATTACAAAGCGCAGAACGGGATTTTAATTATATCAAAGCAGACACATCAAAGCAAACTGCATCAAGTCTCAAAAAGGAGAGATCACTTCATGAAAGATTTTCTTTGGAAACTGATTCGTACTTAGATTTCATGGTTAGGAAATAACAAAATAGCCATATAGCCAGGATTTGAATCTGAGTCGAAAAACCGTGTTTAGCAATCTAATTCACTTGATTGTGGTGGTGGTGGGTTTTCTTAGCAGAAAATCTGAAAGACTATATGTGCCAAATATTATATGACCTCAAGGGTTATATGCTCGAAACGTATGGTAAATATATCCCCCTTCTCATTTAGTGGAAGATTTTAGAAACTAAAATATTGAAGTAACTTCCACTGGTTCAGAAATTTAAATTTGATAACCATTTTAATTCCACTCAGAGTAAGAGGCCGCTTGGACACTTCAGAAGTGGACTTTGCTGTGATGTCTGTGAGCTCATTGTCTTTTATTCTTTCATGTCCAGGAAGCCAGCAGTACCTGAATTTGGAAACCACAGCCTCTGAAGTTTAGATGTAATAGTAAAACTTTTGTAATTGTAAGATTCTTTGTATCAGAAAGATTTCCTGAATTTAGAGGATTAAAAGAGTTAATATATATTATAAACCTTTTACGGCATAACTTAAATATAAATCTAAGAGTGTGATATATTGCAGTTACTTCAGCAATAAATAAGGAGAAAATATCCTACATTCCTCTGCCCTCCACACGGTTTCTAGTCACAAAGGACGAATCTACATGTCCTGCAGTTTTTCAGCCATCGGTATCTATTTGAATTTATTGCTGTATACGTGCCTGTGCTCAAGAAAAAGTTGTCTATATGCTATCTAGTTAGTGGTTTTCTTATCAAGATCATGAAAAACATTTGGAAGCTGAATTTCTGAATTATTGTATGGTGGGATATAAAAAGACTTCTCTACTGGATTTTTCACATTAAACATAAAGTACTTTTGTGTGAGTAACTATGAATTAAATAAACCAATGCGCAGTCGTTTGATATTTTTGGCTCCTGAATGCAGACCTTGAATGTATTTATTAATTTGAAATGAAGGCATTTTTCGCAGATCCCTTGTAGAGTTGCTTTTAACCAGAAAACGCGGTGGCTTTGCTATATTTATAATGTGGTTAGTCCTCACAATCAAATTTGCCTTTACAATTGATTTTATCTTTTGTAGAAGAAGTACTTTCATTGGAACTTAAAAAATTATTTTGGGCCATAACTGAAAGAAATAATGGATTTGGAGCCTTCGGCCTCATCCATTACACAGCCCTACGCCAGATTTAAAATGCCCGCAGATTCTTGCGTCAGCGCTAACAGGGTCTATATGTATTCTGAAGCTCCACGGCCAGTTTTCCCGACAGCAGAAACTTCCGAAAACTTATTCCCAAACTAAGGAACTCTAAGTGCCTCCCGTTTCAGCCTGAAGCAGAAACTAAAGCAGTGTATTAGGGGCAGCACATTGCCCGGCAACTACCAGAACTCTCATTCCTAGTCTTACGGGTCACAACACATTGTCAACACGTAGGCATTTTCTCTCTATGAGACACTGGAAACAAAGGAATGTAACAACATATCATTCTAAACATCAGTCTCCGAAAAGGAAAATCACAGGAAAAGAAATAATGGGAAAGTAACGGATAAAGACAGAGGAATGAAAAGGAGGAGAGATCACTCTGATTCCGAGATCGTGACCCCGTCTCACCAAGAGAGTCATCCCCTAAAGGACAAGGTTACCTCGTATTTACAATGAGTTAGGCCTTGAGGGGCTTGTTCACATGGAAACTGGTGGGTTCCAATATTACAAATTTAATGGTTTTTATCCCTTTGGAAATATATAGATTACCTGGAACATGTGTTTCTCAGATGAATTCCAAATGGCTTGACGTCGAGATTCAAAGATGTAAAACAAAGCCCAATTTTGTTATGATTAACGTATTGACTAAAAGTAGGTTTAAACTTTCAATTTAAAAACTAATTCTATTATATGCATAAAATTTCTCAATCAATAAAAAGCATGAGTATTACTTTTGCAACTCATCAAATTCAGGAACAATTTCTGGAACTCCTCTCTTTCGTAACGGAGATGTCCATTTAATCAAATTATTCATTATAATGGCAGATTGCTTTTATGAACTGGAGTTAGGTCTGTTTTGATCCACTTTATTTTAACTACTTGCTAAACTAAAGTTTGAAGTTATTTTAAGTATATGGTAAACTAAAATTTTTCTGGTAAAGTATTTTACTAGAAAAAGTCTTCCCAAGACAGATTGTACTTACTAACTTCCTCAGATGTATTCAAGGTTTCATGTATTTTTGTGACAGGTGTAGTTTCAGTCTTCTCATTTATCGCTTGCTTTCATTGCTTTTCGTCTTCATATTTTCCTTAGATTTTCCTTTTACTTGAAAAAGACTCACTGTTTCGTTGTGTGTAGCTTATTATATTATTTGGTCATGTCAAATTGAGTAACGAACTTTCCATTTTCCCTGAGATTACTTTGAAACAAAGAACTAATTTCTAGCAATAAAAGAAAACTAAAATAAATAGCTTCTAGAACATTTCAGTTAGGTCCAAGAGGCTAATACAAATTATAGGATGTACTCTGCCTTCTTACTTCAAAAATTAAGTTCATACTTTCTGAATCAGCAAATTATAACTTTATTTATATTTAAAATACATTTTGATCTAGTTTTAAATTTTTAAGCACCAACGCCTCATTTTTCAGAAAATGGCTGTATCAGCTTTGGTAATTACAAAACAGCAGCTATTGTGTGATCTACGATACTTTATTCCAACATGACTGCCTTAATATTTAACATGCTTAAGTGTATGACTGTAACATTAATTTACTGTCAGTGCCGATAACATACTTCAGGCAAGCTTTAAAATTTCGTGAGACCAATACAGTAGTATTCCAAATAAGATTTCCAGATTCTTATTGTAGGTAATTTATGATGATGTATAACTTCCTATTAAATAAGAGGCAGGTAGCTGAAATTTTATAAATTTGAACTCCTCTGATTATTATTACAAGGCATTCTCTTTTTTAGGAAATGTTTGGATGGTGTCATTGTTAGGTTGAACGACGCTAGGTAATGGATCAGTTTAAAACGTCTAACTAATTATAATAAATTTACGGCACTGTCACTTATAATGCTCTACTAAACGAATTAATTTTATTAAATTATTCTAGATAATGTGTGAGAAATCTACACCAGAATCGCTGAAACTGGATGGTTTATATTATCCACGCATTCCAGGGCAATTTAGGTAAGTACGCAGAAATTAATAATAATTTTAATTTTAATTATTTCTTATCGAGCTTATATATTTTATGCACCTATAATTATATTATATTAGCTATATGTTATTTTATATATAAAAAAATTCAAATTTGAATCATCATTTTGAATATTAATTATTTTCGAATGTTTTATTTTCTTATTTAACAAGATATATAAGAACCAATATTAATGTTTTGAAAAATCTTTTTCTTACATTTAGTTAAACTCTGGCTTTTGTTTCAGGATAAATGGACAAATGTCTAATATCCCGCAGTTTTCCGAAGATTTTCAGTGTTTGCCAGGTACACCAATGAATCCAATCAACAAATGCCAAGTTTGGTAGATATGTGAATTCTATGATATTGGAATTCAGGAAAGCTATAAAAAATGAAACTCATTATTTATTCATGTTTGCATGCAGTACGTGGTGCATGAATACCTGAAGCCTTAATTCCATTGTCAACAAAAAAATAAAACATTTAAATCCACTTAGTGCTTTGTATTCATACCTCTTTCTTTAAATTTAAACATGTGAAGGATAGTTTTCTCAACTAATTACAATTACATCTACTCCTCATTTGATAATAGTAAATCTTACTAAAGGAAAATTATAAGAATTATAAGGAAGAATAAAAGAAAAACGGACTTAAAGATAGATTAAACAGAGTTTATCTCTGTTTCCACTTTAAACGACTTCTAATGTCTCATTTAACAAGAGTTTATCTCTGTTTCCACTTCAAACGACTTTTCATTATAATCTATCGATGTAATTTAAGATGATGTTAAGGAGGCAGACATTCAAATGCTTTTCGATGTTAGAAATGCCTACACAAATTATATAATGCTTCAGTGCTGTTGCTTTTACAGCTGATGATGTTGCTGTTTTTGCTGTTGTACTCAAGGTTTCTCTTGTGTCTGCCAGTACCAAGTGCTTTTTACCAAACTAATAATTGTGTTTTGAAATTCCCTTCGTCCTTAAACTAGAATGGTCAACTAAAGAA